GAATTGAAATTAACATAAAAGTTAACAGATTTGAAAGCTGAAACAATATGAATCAAGTCAATGAAACTTCAACAGAAATCAATTGTGAATAATTTGTAGTGAGATTCGTATGATATAACAAAGAAATTAATAACAATTAGTCCCTTTGATAAATTTCGATAATGCAATGAGAAGACGTAGTTTATCAGAATTATGTGATATATTTGCGCAATACATTTCGAACAATCTGATCACACATATACTTGTTAAGAACATTTATATATGAAAAATTAAAAGGTCAACTAGACAGGTTAAGGGTAAGTCATAACAAAGGAAAAAATATTAAAGTACACAAAAACAAACGTGATTACCACTCTGGACAGTAAATCAGTACTACCAGGGTAGGTTAAGTGTAAGTACAAATTGTTTTTGAATACATAAAGGGGACTTCAATTTTCGTATAGCCAAGGCTTCAATAAACCTTAGTATACGTCCTTGAAGGCTTTTGTACAGCACAACAAATGCTGATTTGATATCAACCTTATGACCCGTCTCAATCAAATGTTTCGCAATGGATGATGATGTCTGTCTATCCTGTGGTCTTATTTCACCCTTGGAATTCATCTGATTCTGCAACCATTTTGGTATATGTTCACCCACCCTTAATTGCAAATCACGATTGCTCCTCCCTACGTACGTGTTTCCACACATACATGTAAATTTATAGACACAATGGGATGTGACACAATCGTTTTCATGCTGTTTGGGCTTTTGGTGAAACATAGACCTTGTCTTTTCGATAATGACAAGTTGGGCTGCATAAAATGTTCGGTTGATAGCTAATTTAAGTCTCTGTTTCAACATGAGACTATTTGTGTCACCTCTGAATGGTAGCGTAATATAAACTCGCTTTTTGGGTGCCAGAAGCGTCATAGGTCTAGTCATATTGCAACCCTTCCAGCGGTTTATGAACTTCAAAGGGTAACCATTATTGAATAACGCATCAGTCAAAAGCTTCATCTCTGCTTCAATAGTATCACTAGTACAAATACGATTGATTCTATTGAATAAGCTCTTTATTAAACCGCGTTTATAATGAATAGGGCAGTGACTATGAAAATTAAGATATTGTCCTGTGCATGTTGGTTTTCTATATATAGCACGTTTGATGGAACCATCATCTCTCCTAGTAATCAGGATGTCAAGAAAAGGAAGTTGGTTGTTCTTCTCTTCTTCACATGTAAGAGAAATGTGGTTTTGACTACTATTGAATTCTTTTAACAAGTAGCTTATGTCTTCAATTTTATCACCTATGATTATTATGTCGTCTACATATCGTTTATACAGACTCATCTTTCGAATTGAGTCTCCAACTAAATTTTCCACATATCCCATGAACACATCAGCTAGCAATGGTCCTAGAGGGCTGCCCATAGCTACACCATCTATTTGTCTGAAGTGTTCACCTTCAAATGTGAATTTTACATTATCTGTACATAATAATAATAAATCTTTAAGAGTTTTAACAGGAAAAGGTAGTGGAAGGTTTTCCGAAGAAATAAAGTCACACAAAATATCAATGGTTTTCCTAATAGGTACATTTGTAAATAAAGTGTTTACATCAAAGGAGCACATTGTCTTTGTCTTTATATTTATATCCTTTAAGTAATTAATTAATTCGAATGAGTCAGTCAAAGAATACTTACAATATTGATTTCTGATAGGGTTTAATAATTTTGTAAGCCATTTTGCCAGGTTGTGTGTAGGTGACCGACACATAGATAGAATTGGACGTAGGGGGGTATTAGGCTTATGAATTTTCAGTAATCCATATAAATTAGGATATGCCGAACCCATAGGTTTTAATAAATTAAACTCATCTTTGTTAATAGCATTCATGTTTAACAATTTCACAAGATTCGAGTTCACTTTCTTTTCTAATTTACGTAAAATTAAATTATACCAAAGAAAATAATCGTCTTTATTAATTAAACATAATCCCTTAGATCCCTCAATTGTACTCATGATAGACTAACCATAAATAATATATATAAACATTATATGAAGAATCAATATGCTTTATAAAGAAACTCAATGTGTAATCTGTCTCTTATTTTCTTTGCATTCGCACTTTCATATTATGCTATACTTTAATTTTATACTTAATTTGCAGAGTTATTTGAGACCTATTTATTGAATCTGATATTATCCATGTTTCATTCATGGACTTTATTTAAAGCAACGAACTACATAGTCGATCTATTTGTGCATTTACTTCCATAATTCAGTCCCTTGTATTTTTTTTTCAACTTGTAACCGTTTTCCTACCAACTTCTAAGGGATAATAATCCTAATAAAGATTTTGTATGACTTCATTTTGAGAATATTTATACCCACTTATTTTAAGTACCATGTTAAATACTTCATAACTTCCTACTTTTATTATTATCTGTGTCTTATTGAACTCAACTTCATTGATTATTTATACTGATTACAACTCTAGGTCATTTGCAGTTCATGAGAAGTCCTGAAATATAATGTTTTACTGTACTAAATCGTCCTGTTTATTGATGTTTTCATCTATGTTTAAAGAAAGAATGATGAAAATATGATGCACGTTCAATGGGATTTCAGTGAATACTTTGAAAGTTAAGTTTGTGTCTATATGGTAACTAAATGTTTCGAAACAGAGATTTTTAATTGCTCTCTTTTCTTCTTTGATTTCATTCCTAACTGTAAAAATTATTTATTGATGTAGAACCTTGATGAGAAACTATTTCTTATCTTATATTTTATCTTATATGTCTTGATGGGTATATTTAGTATACATTGAGATATATTCACAATTGATTGATCACCGGGTGGTGATCAATGTCATGCTTGTCTAGTCCTTATTAGTGCAGATCGAATGCTATCGATCATGTTGCAATGTGGCCACCAGTCTAGGTGACTCGACACTGCGGGCACTATGTATTGAGATTATGATGGTGGTTGGAGGTAGTCAACAGGAAACCCTGGACCCGGGTTTCGTGCTACTTGGCACTCGTCAGCAAGGTGTACCTGTAATCTTGAGGGAACTGGTGCTCCCTGGCGGAGGTTAGTCACGGCTCGGATAGCTCAGTGGTAACGTCTCTGACTGTGAAGCTGGGTGACACGAGATCGAATTCACCAGGGAGCACCAGTTCCCTCAAGATTACAGGTACACCTTGCTGACGAGTGCCAAGTAGCACGAAACCCGGGTCCAGTGTTTCCTGTTGACTACCTCCAACCACCATCTTAATCTCAACATTGAGATATATTACTAACAGTTAATATTTATACTACAGTTAATTCTTCTAATACTATACTCGTTAATTTCGATGTTGAAAATGTGTTAGCTTGACTTACACAATAACTAGGGCTTAAAAATCCTAAATAAATGTTTCATCTAATTAATAAGAACTTTCGTTTAAATTTGAACGAATAGTTTCACAATATTTGGGCGCCGAGTTAGTGTGAGACATTAAAGAGGAAGAATTTATTTGTAAAATCTCAACGAAAGAATTTGAAGTCAATCCAACGTTCCACCTGGCAATCTGGTCCAAGCTTTTTCATCTAATTTACCCTAAACTATTCAACATTACAGTTTCGGTTTATTTTGTTATCAAGATAAAAGTGTTAATAAATCAATTATGATTATACAGTGTAATGAATAACAATTTTTAATTTTCTATTCATAAAAGTTAAAAAATTCTAAAAATATTGTTGTGATATTTAGACCGGTTAATTACCACGTGACTTATTCACCAATCGAAATACGACTTATACAATCTTAGTACTGTGCCAAACCAATGACCTTCGACCGGTATGAGCAGCCTAGAGTCCTTTCTTGGTCCTTTTTCCTGCCTAACTCTACCAGTTGAGTCCAGAACATCAATACCAGCTTTCACTATACGAATCATTTATTCCAAACATATCTGATTTATATACAAGCTAAATGGACCACACCACACTATAAAATAGGAAATAAAATTTGTACAAGATCAAGCCAAAAAGTGTCTGTAAACGTGGGAGACTGTAATTAATAAACTGAACATAACTTAACAGTAGATCGTATAATAATAGTCTATAGGTCAGAATAAAGCTTATAATATATAGATATACACAATTTAGGTACTGAATAGTTATACAATAAGATTAATATTAGTCCATTAATAATTCTCAGAAGTTACCCGTATTTTAATCTTCACTAGGATATAACAAATATGTATATGAAGGAATTATTCACTGTTATCCAAACATTTCTCTGAAATTCGTGTTTAAATAAATGGTGGTTAAGTTGAAAATGATACCACTATAAATTTAGTTGTAGATCACCAAGGTATATAATCTATGTCAAATGATTGGAAGCTTACTCGAGTTTGATGGGGATGATGTGACGAACCGGCTAACTTCGAAATCACACTTTGCGGTCAACATCTAACGTGGATTACCCCTTCGACGTATCAAAGTACTATAGCTGCTTTGAAGACCGTATAACATTGAGGAAGTCATTAAGGAAATATATTAGTAAGAATGAGTACAGAGAATATAACAAGACCACCACTGCATGCGCCAGTCCTTGGCATACGATCAACTGATGCTCGTTGGTTGTCCGTGACCCTGACAGGGATCGACGATCAGTGACCCAACTGCCGGACGATTTGGCTAGGGCTCAGTGACATTTCACTGACCCTACATAGTCAACCACTTGTGTATGTATATATATGTGTATGTGATATAAATAAGAGGTTAGCTCAATGTAAATAAGCATATAATTTTCAGTTAATAAAATAATTGGATAATTTTCTGTTTTAGGATAGGCAATGATGTAATATATTGTATTCAATTTGTTACAAGAAATACAGGAATACAGCTCATAATATCGAATTGATGTTTATGGACTAACTTGATATATATCAACATGACGCAATCAAATGTATTCTAGGTCATAAGTAAATAGAATATATGAGTTAAATTCATTCAAGTATTCCCTCCAACCACGAATTCCAAATTTATTTGATTTGATTGGTAAGACAATGTATATATGTACTTATTTATATTCTGTGCACCCATAAAGGATTACTTATAACTTGGAAATAGTAAGTTATTTGTACAGCTTTAATTGACAGTCTGGACAACATCTTCAGTGCCTATTTTATGTAGAAGTGAGCCTTCCAGTTATTCCATAAGTGTTATATCAGTACATTCTGATGACTTAGTGTATGACAGACTGTTTTCTTAGGTTTTATTGTATTCGTTTGTTCCTGTAATAATGTTAACTGTCTTTGAATATTTGATCCATGTGACCTGGTTTCCTGTATATTTGTGTTTCCAAAGATCCCGTATTTATTCTGTCGACTAAAACGTTCAAAAATAAGATTTTTTTTCTCTTGTGGATTTGACGTCATCGGAAATCTTGATGACCAACTTATGAGTACTTTCAAGCAGATTTGTTTCCATGATAACGAAAGCATCATTTGCATAACGTATCTGAATCTTTACCTTGATTACTGATGGGGCTATAATCTTGCGCTTTTGCATCGTAGCTCCTGAAATTAGTCTTGATATGGGAGATCACGTTACAGTTACTTTGTGCAGCCTGTAAATCAGACGGTTAAACAGGTTACATGTTATTAGACACAGGTTTGTGAGCATTCTTGCATCTGGACACCATATTTGTGTATGTCTGGTGAGTTGTTCGTTGTTGCTGAACAAAAGAACTGCAATATAATCTTCTGTATCAAGACTGATCTCAGGAACTGTGATGCATCATGTGCTTCAGGCCAAATAAATTCAGAGCATATTGAATCTATTTTAGAAATAATGTATTGTTGAACCATATTTTTTCTATTAGATCATCATCAAGCTTCACTCTTGTATAGAGTAATATGTTCATGTGCATATGTGAAAATATTGAGACACTTTAGACAATTTGAGAATTAGCAACCTTTGCATATATAACAAACCATTAATGTATGAAACTGTTTTAGAACAAGCGATGATCAGTTATCTGTCAGGAAGAATTCAAAAGTAATTATGATTGTAATATATACATTTGAATAAAGGGGTTCACTTGTGTGCTCAGTAGAAAGAAATGATTCACTCCGAGAAATTTGTTTATGAACGGATAAATTCGATATCAAAAGGCAAGCTATGGTCCATTTTTCGAATAATAATAATTTAATTCATCTGATAAAACTCTGTAAACCGTATTAAGATCAGACATGTTTGGTGAAATGAATAAGGATAACTGCCCTCTATGTATGACTTCTTTCCTAGTGTAAATCACACTTAATAGAACTTTAAAAAATCTTACGGGTTTTCATTTTACCAACGACTTACTGTCCAACTAAATAAAATTATAATCCCTACATTCTGTTCAGACAGGTGATGAATAAAACGTCATTAAATCAAGCCCAAATAGTGTACGACCGAACACCTGAATTCAAAATTCCAAACAACATTTTTCCTATGTATTCAACTCCGCTCCACTCATCGAATTCAGTTAAATGCAGTGAACTCTGCCAGTACGACATACCAAACATATCACTTAATTTGGCTACTTTATCGCTAGAAGACTATGACAAAACTCCAACAACTGATATCTCAACAATGAGAAATCGATATTCTCGGAAAAGCTTACTTTGCGAATTACCGGTCTCCGATTGTTCACATAGAACGAATTCGTATGTGGAATGGTGTCACCATGATTTTACTAATGATGATCATTGGCGGATTGTACGCTATTATTTTGTTGAATCTAAACATTTACAAATGAATAGAAAGGTTTATTTAGATGATGGAGTGAATCATTCCACCAGGTTATATCGTATTTATATTGATGAAAACGGCAATAAATATTCATTTTTTTAATCAGTTGTATTATTTTCGAACAATTAATTTGTATAAAATTTGATGGTAGTTTTATTTCAAACATTATTTATCACATAACTAATGTATTTTCGAAATGGCTTTTATGAAATAAACACTCTAAACTTCTTAGTGTTTTTGAAAGTCACTGTAATTTTAATTTTGCATAGACGAAGATCATTTTGTATGACCGTTGCGAAGTTTATGTGAAATGGTACATGTATTTTGTTAAACTGAAATATCATTACAAACTCATCATGTTCCGAGTCAAACAAGATTTATATATCTGAAATGACCTGCTTGAATATCTGGGCAACCTGTTCCTTCCATCTAGATATTTCAACAAGTTATATGTTTCCTTGTTGTTGTAACAGATCATTATGTCAATTGATTGAATAACCTATTCAGGTAGGTTTGTGAAAAGTTTAAAATCTTTCGTTGTAAAAATTACAAAAATTTACAATCGGAGACATCGTAGTGGTTAGCAATGTGCATTGAAAAGAATGAACATTATTCAGATGTCGATTAATAAACTGGTAGCATCTAAACTTACTTACTTACATGGGCCCCTCACCAGCATTGTCCATCCAACCCTGTCCTGGGCAATCCTTTCCAGCTCCTTCCAGTTCTTATTCATCCTTTTCATTTCTGATTCAATTTCCTGACGTAATGTGTTCTTTAACCTTCCTCTTTTCCTCTTCCCTTCAAGATTACAAGTTAGGGCTTACCTCGTGATGCAATTTGATGATTTATGTAATGTATGTCCTATCCACCTTCAAATTCTTTTTCTAATTTCCCCTTCATTTGGAATATTGTTTGTTCTCTCCCACAGTAGGCTGTTTTTCATGGTATCCGGTTGACGGACATTGCGTATCTTGACTAGACAATTATTTATAAATACTTTTACCTTGTTGATGGAGCTTGTGGTAGTTCTCCGAATTTCGGCACCATACAGTAGAACTGACTGTTTTGATGTTCGCATTGAAGATTGCGACTTTGATATTGGTTGACAGATAGTTGTTTTGAGTTTCATATTTTGTTCAACTATATGAATACTGTCCTTTCTTTGCTCATCCTCGCCTTTACGTCTACACCCGATCCTCGTCGTTGTTTATCGATGGTGTCCAGGCAGATACGTGAAAATTTCCACATCTTCCAGAGTTTCTCCGTCAAGTATGATTGGGTTGGTGTTCTCCGTGTTGTATTTGAGGATCTTGCTTTTACCTTGTATGTGTTGAGGCCTACTGATTCAGAGACTGCTGCTACACTGGCTGTGTTTATCTGAATTTGTTTTTGTATATGGAATAGACGAGCTAGGTCATCTGTGAGTTCCAAATCGTCCAGTTGATTCCAAGTTGTCCATTTTATTTCGTGCTTCCCTTCAGATGTCGAGGTCTTCATAATCCAGTCGACCACCAGGAGAAAGGGGAAGGGTGAGAGTAAGCAGCCTTGTCTGACTCCGGTCCTTACTTGGAATGCATCTGTCAGCTCTCCTCCATGCATGACTTCGCACTGTACTCCGTCGTATGAGTTCCGGATTATACTGACAATCTTCTCAGGAACTCCGTAGTGTCGAAGACGTTTTCATAATGTTCTCCTGTCTACACTGTCAAAAACGCCTTTTCATAATCAATGAAGTTGATCTGTATTGACGAGTTCCACTCAACTGGTTGTTCGACGATGGTCCGTAGTGTCGCAATTTGGTCTGTGCATGACCGATCGCTACGGAACCCAGCCTGTTGATCTAGAATTTGGGCGTCTACTGCGTCTTTCATCCGGTTCAGCAACACTCTGTTAATGACTTTCCCAGGTACTGACAGTAACATCTGAACTTGTGATCACTTAATACTTATCGTCAATATCGATCAAGAAATCAGAAACGGAAACTCGCTGAAATAATTTATACTGTGAATTCTATATCCTACCAAAATTATAATATTGAATAAGTATAATAATAATAACAATAGGTATCGTTACCAAGGTTTGATTTGATAATTTCGAATAAATTGAGCATTAGGTAGATTGTTATAAATAATAATAATAATTTCAGCCAAGTCGCTATAATATTTAACTGTGGTTGTACTGAGAATACTGCTAAAGCATCTCCTAAATAACTGAAGCCTCGGTTTTGAACAAAGCTTGGGTTTTGATCATAGAAAGCATCGTTGAAGAAGTTGTGCTTTGATATTTTTGTGGTTTAGTAGTTTGTTTACTACCAACTTTCTTTAATATTTTACTGTATATTACTTTTAATTAACAAGTAGTTTAATAAACTGCTTCTTGCTTTTAATGATGATTTGAAACATCGTATTTTGTGAAGAATCTCCTAGACTAATAAACTATTTGCTCACCTGAAACTGGTTCAGAAAGCAACAATGTTGTATTCTATGGCAGAAGTGAATTACCTTCATGTTATCAAATTGTTTCTTCGATTTAAAATCTTGTTAACTTGTGAAATTAAGATGTCTATTTATTTAAATATCACAATCGGCATATGAACTGAATCATTGTTCCCATGTTCGACTGAAAACTTATATATTAAGTATAAAGTCTAGTTTGAATGTGAATCTATGTAACATCTCTCTATGTAACAGTCCTTTAAAGAAATGTACAGTTTAATAAAATTATATAGATTTATGTAAGAAACAGATGTAATTCGTAAGTAGTACACATATGATGCATAAATCCAAAGTCAAATATCACATCATTTGACTTTTCAACACAAGAAAACAAATAAATTTATTCAAATACTCAGAAGCTAAGATACAAATCCAGTGATAATAATAAACATATGAGGAGAACAACTAGAGTAATACTTTTGTACAAGAAATGAACTTCATTTTGTGAGATTCCAGACTTTCATTATGGATTGTGTTCATTTATTGATTGATCGGGATCGTGGATGCGCATTGCTGAGGGGTCCAACAAAAGAATGAAACATCCGTCCAGTGCTTCCAGGTTTCCAATGGTGGTCTAACATCAATTGGTTCATGATCTCACTCATAGACGGATAACTTGAAACATCATTGATCGTTTATAAAATCCTAAATCATTTCATATTTATGATAATTTCATTGAATAAATAATAAGTCACATTTCTTGTTAAGTAAATAAATGTTCTTCTCTCTCATTAAAACACTGGAACATAAGACTGTTATTGGTGGAGTTTTGCTCTCTGACCTGGATGGTTTGATCGTGGAGCCATCATCCACCTGAGCTACAAATCTTCTCCACCATCTCATAAGACTGTTAACTATAAGTTCATAGTGAAATGAGAATTATAACTTATATGAATTATGCAAGTATAAAATAAAGCGACAATGTAAATCTCAATAATTTTATAACTAAAAATATTTTTATAAAAAAAGATACACATTGTAACATTGATAGTTACATTCTAAACGGTAAAACACTTTATGTATGAAAATTATATTTGAAATATTTAACATAGTTCCAACGTTTTTGTCCAATAAATTTGTCCGGACTACCTCAAGGTAATAATCAAAAATAAAACATCTGAAGAAGTTCAGACAAATTTATTAGACGAAATGTTGGAGTTGTTTTAAATTTTAGTCGTTGAGATTATTTCAACTATAATTTTTACATATAATGACTTTTCTATACTTCGTGCCTAATTTTTTTGTCAAACTATTCGTTCTAATATTGACGAATATTGGTAAAACACTTTTATTTTTCAAATGATTTAACTCAAGTTCTACAGTTATTAAACGAAATTACTGATCCCAAGAATGATTACGTTTAAGGTATCTTTTAAATTCATAGTCGATGAATTCAAAATAGATTGCTGTATCATATAACAATTTCTGTCATATGATCTATAGAAATTCCACAAAAAAATATCACCATTTGACAATAAAATAAAAATCAAATCAGTAGTTAACCAATCAGGACCAATATGAAACCAATAGTTCTGTTTTTAAATGAAAAATACTTATTATGTTATCATGACAACTTGTATTGCATAAATGTAACTTGGTAGTGGCAGTACACAGGATAAATGTGCAATTATATATATATATATAAAGTTTTAGCAATGATGGGAATATTTTTTGTAAGAGTCATGATACAAACAGTGATTAATTGAATGTTACCATGTAAATACCACACGATTCGAAGTGACAGTAATGGCATTTTCTATGGATAAAATGGAAAAACTAAACGACAAAATTCAAACGTTTATATATATATATATATATATATATATATATATATATATATATATATATATATATATATAGCGGTAAATCAATCCCCAAAATCAATAGCTCTGTAAGTCTTCAACATATGATGCTGACCACATTGATTTTAAGGGACTCACCTAGCTGATGGTTCTCGGTCATGCATCCTCACTAGATCACGTGTGTGTATGTTGTGTATAACTTCTCCTACAACCACTAGCTAGCTTAGATCAATCACATCTCGATATATAGATAGCCTATCAAATATACCATTGAACCTCTTTGCGCCTGATTTCCCTGTGTTGGCACGTTGAGATTATAGAAGTTGTTACCGGTTAAGGTGTTGTCAAACTCCAAATACTTGTCACATCTTTATATATAGTAGTATTGGCTTTAAAATAAGTAAGATTTTTGCATGATGAATCGTTGAATATGCCGAAATTCAACTAGTACATTTTTTGGTACTTGGTTAGATAAAGCAAATGAAACTAGTTAATCAATTCTTTTTACATGCATTCATCTATAATGTTAAAAATATTTAATTATCGATTAGTCAAACATTAATGTGTCATAATTATCAAAATATCTATCAGAAAAGTTATGATGACTTTAATCTTCATCTTGATGGGTGATTCAATTATTTAATTTATGTAAAGGAAAGTTCAGTTGATATACTTGAAGTAACCAGACATTGTATGCAACTTAACTGATATTCAATAAGTAATATACAAAGGCATTTGTTTAATAAAAAAATAACGTAAACAATGACATGAAAATGCTGTAACCAATTTCTACAGAACATTAACAATTCCTTTAGTTGGTTGTTGTTAATCTTTGACCGATATTACATTTACATTATGCCAAATCATCAAAAAGACAAAACACTTGAAATAAATCAATAATCGTTGATGAAATAATGTTATGTTA